TTTAAAAAGTTGCCTTTAAGAGCAATGTTGGGCCAGGTGGCTGAAATGAGTAGAGTAATGTGAGCCGGCTGTGGCTCTCACCTGTAATCCCAGCACTCTGGGAGGCCAAGGTGGGAAGATCGCTTGAGCCCAGGAGTTCAACCAGCCTGGGAAACATAGGGAGACTCTGTCTCTACAAATAATAAAAAAGTAGCTGGACATATTATTTTGTTTTTGAACAAAATTCATGAACAATAATTGAAAATTTAAAGAATAATTCAAAATAATTATTTGTAGAAACACTGTCTCTGTAAGTAATAAAAAAGTAGCTACTTGGGAGGCTAAGGCAGGAGGACCACCTGAGCCCGGGAGGTTGAGGCTGCAGTGACTGTGCCACTGCACTCCAGCCTGGATGACAGACTGGCACCCTGTCTCAAACAAAACAAAACAAAAACATAAGTAATGTTTATTAATGTTTCCCTTCAAAGTTTTAATAAACAGCTAAGTAATCAAAATAAAACAATGATCGGGCACAAGGCTGTGTGGCAGCAGGCCCCGCTCTAATTCCATATGCATAACACACAGTGGGCACTAATGAATATTCACTGACAGATCGGCTGGAAGTTGGAATCGTGAGACTGAGGTACTAAGTGCGCAAGTTTGCAGCATAATAAAACTCAAACCTCATTTTTAAAAGTTTAACAGGTAAATGTAAAGTTGGGAAGTGACAATAAATGTCACAATCTCTTATGAATCTTTATCAACCACAGATTTGATTAAGCCCTTCTCAAACCTTTTAGCTTTTACTACTTTTAAGTATACTGAGGCCATTTCACAAGCATGTACTGCTCTCTTCTCTTTGTTTTAAGGCAGGTGATACAAACTCAAATATCTTTAAGGGCCAGGCAAGCCATGAAAATGAGCTGAGTGGGCTGAGTGGAGAACATGGCAAACTGGAAGCACACATTCTGTGTCTAAAGGAAGTCAGTTATTGTCCTGTAGAAACACAGGTCTAGTGTGATCAGTTCTTCTAATTTTTAAAGAGGCTGGATATTGATAAATATATATT